TTTCTGGGAATTCCCATCACACGCAAATCTTCTGCCACTGGCAGGAGTGTAGCATAGATAGATTTTGTCTTTGATCAAGCTTTTATTACCTAGTTCTCTCTCGGCTCCACATCTCGCTTCTTCTCCGTCCGCCGGGAAGAATTTACCAGCGTCTGGACGAGGAGGACAAGCAATCCAGTACACTGATAGGTCTGTCGTATCATGGATAGATTTAGCTTGTATCATTCAGCCACCCTCAAGGCTTGCAGGATCCAATGACCCATTTGTGATCGATCGCCGCTCGCGAGTTTGATCGATATCAATACCTCAGCTCCTCCCACAATGGGTTATCGGATCCACCATCAAAATCACAGCTTGTTCGCGAGTGGCGGCTCCAGCTGCTCGTGAGACATCACGATTGCGACCAACAGCGACAATGGGAATTGGAACAGGGCAATGTACGCACTCCATCTGGGTGACAACGCTGGAGCAGGGCTAGGCGTCTTGAGTTCCTCGTCGGCCGATCTTCCGGATCACCATCGCTCATCAGTGCTCCAGCAAAGGGAGTTTTTCACCAGGGATGCCTTCGCGCAGGGATCATCGCGTGCATCAGCCGCGGCGGCGGCGGCGGAGGAGGAAGCATACTATCGATCAGCGTCGTCAAATCTTTCCAGCCTTGCTTCTTCGTTCCACCATCGGCTGGATCACCCGGAGGTTCCTCCCGCCGAGGCAGTGTTCTTGAGTCGGGATAGGCCGAGGAGCACCTTGGAGAGGTCGACGAGGGCGAGTGCTAGAGTCGACTTCTCGGCGGATCGGTATCAAGAACACCACATTCCGAACTTATGGGATCAGGCATCGACTTCCAGCAAGCCCGCAGCCACGGCCTCAATCCAAGCCACTCCATTCATCGGGTCTTCGCGGCTCCCGGAGGCCCAGCTTCTTCCTCCTCCGCTTCATCACCATCAAGCGATATCGATCCAGCACGATTTCAACGACGCGGCCTCCTCGGAGCACCATCGGAACCCATCGCCGCCAAGCTGCGATATCATCGCTCCTCCCCAATACAGGATCTACAAAACGACCGCCGCCATTAACATCAACGCCACCTCCGGCGCGAGCACCTCCACCGCCGCCACCATTACCAACACCACCAGCGCATGCAAGGAATGCGGCAACCAGGCCAAGAAGGATTGCCAGTTCCAGCGATGCCGGACGTGCTGCAAGAGCCGCTCGTTCGACTGCCAGACCCACGTCAAGAGCACTTGGGTCCCCGCGGCGCACAGGAGGAATCGAGGCGCCGCCGCGCACGCCGGCGGCGACGCGATGATCGACTCCTCCTCCTACGATCACGAATCCAGCGGGCTACCGCGATCCAAACGCGCCCGCGGTGGCGGCTTTCGGCTCGTGGGTTCCACGGCCTCGGCATCCTCCTCCGGCTCGCAGCACGACTCGGACACGCCAATCTCGGGTAAGTTTTGGGGTTTGACCGGGCTTGACCAAGCCTGATCGGGGTGTCTTACTTTCTTGACTTTCGTTGACTGGCTTCTGGGCAGCCGCATTTCCGGCCGAGGTGCGCGCGCAGGCGGTGTTTCGATGCGTAAAGTTGACCAGCGTCGAGGACGGCGAAGACGAGTACGCGTACCAGACAACGGTGAGGATCGGGGGCCATATCTTCAAGGGTGTTCTTCACGACCGAGGCATTGAAGCTGGGCAACAAGACTCGTCCAGTTTCGGTGGTACTTCCACCGCGTCCCATCACCTCGTCGCCAAATCCATGGCGCCATCAGCGACTGTTAGCGCTGCGAGCGATCCAGCGCTAGCAGAAGCAGCAGCAGCAGCAGCGACAGTGGCCTCTACAGCCACATTATATGGACACGGAGGAAACGTACTCCTTGAAGGTTCTTCTAGACTCCTTTCACCAAAGAAAAATCTTCTTGGTTTTGGGTCAAGGGCTTTGGATCTACGTGATTCTGGTTGCTGCAGAGATGCGAGGTGGCGTCGGAGGCACCAACTGGTGAAGTCTTGCGAGGGGAGCGAATCAATCAGTCGAATTTTTGGAGTTTTGGGTACTAGATGGAAGAACTGGATATCTTGTTTGAGGTGAGTGATGTGAACTTCCACTCGAGAAACTCACAAACATCCTTGTCTGTGACAGGTTTATATCAGTATCATCATCTTTACCACCGATTTTTTAACTCTTTTGTATATGTCTAGATCCAGGATTAACTTGCAGCACTAATCACCCAAGTGTAACGAGTGAATCACTCAAAGCTATGGAATCGAGCCCTCCTTCCATGCAAAGCAAAGGAGTCAATGCTTGGATCCAAAGAGAGAAAAAAAATATATTCCATGAGTAGACACAAAGCCATGAGGGCCAATCACATCGAGCAGCGTGTCCTCATACGGATCTTGCCGTACGTCTCCTGGGGGATATCCATAATGTTGCTGGACAAGCGGCGCTGTGACGCGCAAGGGGTGGTGGGTTCTTTGGATTGGCGCTACAAGCTCTCAGACTTTTAGCAATCGTCTTCTAAGGGTCCCTCGTGATCGGTAAGTTCGCAAGATCTTGGTGGGCGATCTCTGGTATTTGAGGAATCGAAATGTGAGCTTGCAATGCAGATCCAGGGGATCATGAAGCGCGGGAGTTTGATGTTGCTGGGTCTTCTCCAGGCGGCTTTGGTGCTTTCTTTGATCCAGCACGGCCATGGCTGGGACGAGTACCTTAAACCACCGGCTGGAAACAGGCAAGAGCTTGAGTAACTCGGTTTTGGTTTTTATCGTTCTGGTTGGAACCTTGGCAGCCCTCATATGAGAGTGAAGACTTCGAATGGCCACCATAGCTACAAGTGCTCGTGCGAGAAATGGGAGCTAACGGCAGCCTCGGCCGATCTGCTCAGCACCGTCGACTCCAAAACTATAATCGGCGCCTACTCTTTCTCCAGAAACTCAAACTCCAATTCCAAGCACCAGGGAACTTGGACCTTGTTTAACAATCCAGCCGACGCCATCGAGTCTGGAGCTCGTGTGAGCGCTGTTACTGGTAAAGAAGTTCTGGAAGTTCTAGCAAAGTTCTAACTTTTCTCTTGATTCCAGCAAAGGTGATACTTTCGTATCCAATACCCGGGGGCTTATCCGAGGCTCTCTTGCAAGTAACCTCTCACCACTTCGAGGGCCAGAGCGGGCTGGTTTCTTACATCCAGCGTCTCAAGCCGCAAGGTGGCGTGCCAATGACGAGCTCGTGCCAGCGTCCTCACGAAGTGCTCAAGGTTCCATTCTACGCCGAGTATCAGTTCTGGAGGCAAGACGTGGTGCCACCCAGCGTCCCATACTCGCTCGTCGTGCCCTCGTCCGTGAAGCCGGTCCAGAGCTTGTTTGGCGAAGGGGAGGTCCTCTACTTGTTCAACGGTGAGAGCTGGGAGCAAAGGTACGCGTTTGCGAAGCTCTACGACGTTCCCGGCGGCAAGAAGCTGGGGAGCTACTACATCAAAGCTAGAGGCGCGGGTGAGTCGTATGGAACGCACTTTTGGGATCTCTCCAATCCAAATGGCGTCCAAGTCGTGGGGAGAGTTACCATGCCTCCGGTTAGCGTCTCGAACAGCAGCCTTCCGTGGTTGACGACCACAATCACTGCTCACACGGGATCCAAGTAAGCTCTTCTTCTTCGATCTCTTCTTTTGCTTGTCACTTTTGTTCATGGCTTTGGATTTCTTCTAGTTTGTTGCTTGAAGACTTTTGTTCATGGCTTTGGATTTCTTCTAGTTTGTTGCTTGAAGACTTTTGTTCATGGCTTTGAATTTCTTCTAGTTTGTTGCTTGAAGACTTTTGTTCATGGCTTTGGATTTCTTCTAGTTTGTTGCTTGAAGACTTTTGTTCATGGCTTTGAATTTCTTCTAGTTTGTTGCTTGAAGACTTTTGTTCATGGCTTTGGATTTCTTCTAGTTTGTTGCTTGAAGACTTTTGTTCATGGTTTTGAATTTCTTCTAGTTTGTTGCTTGAAGACTTTTGTTCATGGCTTTGGATTTCTTCTAGTTTGTTGCTTGAAGACTTTTGTTCATGGTTTTGGATTTCTCCGAGTTCTTTGTTCAGACCTAGTTTGAGGTCGTTGTTATGGTTTTTCTGGTGTGTTTTTAGACTTTACTTCGTTTCGATGTTAGTTTCCATAAGAGTAATCGTCGTGAGAAGTTTCACAAGTTCTTTTCCTTTCATGACCACGTAGCTCGCTCCTAAAGAACGCAAAGGCCGTGCAAATGCTGTCAACTCGAGGTGGTCTCCCCAACAAGAAGAGTCCCAGAGGCAAGCTTTCCAGAGGCCAGTTGTGGAGAGTTCCGTTCACAGCCGTCTTCTGGTTCTATGGCTGATAGCTTGCTCGCTATTTTCACTCCACTCTCGCTCGCTCCAAGAAAACGATCACCTCCTCCAAGGAGATCTCCAGACAAGAATAGCACTTCACCGGATGTACAAACTACGTAAAACGAAGAAAAAAAAAACAAGAGAACGAAAGCAATGATATGTCACACATTCTAAGATACTTGTGAGAAGTTTGATCTGATTGACATATGGTTTTGATGGAGAAATTGATATGGACACGGAATTCGTACTGCCGCACAGAACTTGAATGTGCTCAGAGCTGCAAACGAACGAGATTAGCAGTGCACAAAGACCAGGCGCACCACAGGAAAAGCATACAAAAAAGTGTAAGACGACGACGACGAGAGCTGGACCTGGCAAGACGGCTTTAAATGCTCTCACTCGGCAAACACCATGCTACATATTGACCTGAAGAAAATTTTTTAAAAATACGTTTTTTTTTTATAAATGTAGATAACTATTCAAATAAGAATGTTTGGAGGCAAAAGGAATGAGTCCATTTTTCCCCTTTATCTTTAAATTCCACATGGGAAAAATGGGACGGCTTCTGGGAATTCATGAGCAAGGGGTTGGGTGGTGGCATTTATACTCGTGATTTCATTGTTGAAAGCGAGAGGTATCGACCCTTTTCCTTTAGTTTTTCATCTCTTTTTTACGTTTTTTTTTTTACTAAATTCATCCCAAGATGGAGCATTTGCATGAAAATAAAGAGCAAAAACCTGGAAGAGAAGAGCAGAAAATGGAGAAAAAGATTCACAGTGTTTAGCTTTGTGGTCGTCATGCATTGATTATATCACGGGCCGTACAAGACCAGACCGCGTTCGTACACCGCGAAGCTTGAACCCTTTATAAAACCCTGCACGTCTTTCACCTCCTCTCGGCATTCATTAAACGCAGTGCATCCATCCTGCGTGATCCCTGGCATATTCTCTCCCTCCGCTTCCTCCATAGCCGCCGACTAAAGAGAAGTAGACGCACTCCGCGCGAAGACAAGTGAGATAGAAGTAGCAGCTTCTCTTTTACCTCGTTTTTGCTCCCGGGGCCTGTCCATGCAGTGGTGGACACAGTCGTCATCCTTGGATCATCGCCCACGATCATCGAGCAGGAGTTTTGGATTGATCATCCGGTATTGGAGTGCGATGGAGATAAACTCCAGCAGCAGCGGTAGCAGTAGCAGCAGCAGCGGTGTCGGAGACAAGAACTTCATCCAAGTGAGTGGCATCGATGCTTCTCCATCCCCTTCCTCCTCCTCGCTGTTGATGGTCATCGCCCACGGCTCCGGATCGGCGAGCTGGATGATTAGCATCGCCCTGCTGCTGGCCTGGTGGGTGTTTCTCCACAGGCTGAGACAGCGGCATCTGGCCGGGCCCAAGACGTGGCCGCTGCTGGGCTGCATCGTGGAGCAAGCCCGCAACTTCGACAAGCTCCACGACTGGCTACTCGGCTACTTCAACAAGACGCTCACCTTCTCCGTCCCCATGGCCACCATCAACAACACCTTCACCGCGAACCCGGCCAACGTCGAGTACATCCTCAAGACCAACTTCAACAATTTCCCCAAGGTTGATCCCAGATCCCAGCTCCCAGTTTGCTTTCGTAGTTTCTTTCTTTTGTTCATGAGGAAACAACCCATGTTTACAGGGTGACAAGCTTTGTGGGAGGTTTGAGGATCTCATGGGTCAAGGCATTTTCACCGTCGACGGCGAGAGGTGGATCCACCAGCGCAAGGTTGCCACGGCCGAGTTTGCGTCGTCCAAGCTGCGCGATTACAGCATCCACACTTTCAGGGACAAGGCGCTGCGGCTGGTCAAGGTGCTGGACTCGGCCTCGCGCTCCGGGAAGCAAGTCGACCTCCAGGTAGAAGATCATAACTCTCTAGTGGTGAATTCACCTCTAACTCCTTGTCTGGATGCGAATTATGCGCTCTCGACCAGGATCTGTTCATGAGGCTGACACTGGACTCGATATGCACGGTCGGGTTTGGAGTTGGCGTTGGGTGCCTGTCGCCGGATCTGCCGTTTGTTCCATTCGCGGCCGCGTTCGACGAGGCAATGCGGCTCATCATCCGGAGATATGTGGACGTTTTCTGGAAGATCAAGAGGGCCGCGAGCATTGGATCGGAGGCCCGGCTCGCGCAGTGCCTCAAAGTGGTGGACAGTTTTCTCTACCAAGTTATCAACCGGAGGCGAGAGGAGATGAAGAGACTATCCTCGGAGGTATAGAACGTTACAATCGTCCAGTTCAATTCGAGTGTGAATTGCATTGATCCTTGTTTTCTCAGGCTCGAGCGGACTTGCTATCGCGATTCATGGTGCTGGAAGGCGAAGAGGCCTACACCGACAAGATGCTGAGGGACGTTGTGATGAACTTCATGGTGGCGGGGCGAGACACCACCGCGCTGACGCTCTCGTGGTTCTTCTCCGAGCTTTGCAAGCACCCGGAGGTGGCGGACAAAATCGTCGCCGAAGTCTCCCAGGTTCTAGGAAGCAAGCAGCAGAAAATTCCCAAGATTTCCGACAGGAGCAGCAGCTTCGACTATGGACTGGAGCAGGAGATCCTGGATCTTGCGGAGCTGCTGGACTACCAGACGCTCAACAAGATGCAGTATTTGCATGCCGCTCTCACGGAAGCTCTCCGGCTCTATCCAGCAGTCCCTCTCGTAAGAACACAAACTCCTCGAGATGTCACTCACGCCAAATTTTCTCTTTGCAGGACACCAAGCAAGTTATCGAGGATGACACGCTCCCGGATGGAACGAAAGTCCGAGCAGGCCAGTTCGTGAGCTACGTTCCATACAGCATGGGAAGATTGGAACACATATGGGGACCCGACGCTACCGAGTTCAAGCCAGAGAGGTGGCTCAACTCGAGTGGTGTCTATCAACCGCAATCTCCATACAAATTCACAACTTTCCAGGTAAACTTCTCTTCGAGAACTTTGTTGATTGTTCTCGATTATCATCTTGAACTCTTTTGTTTCCAGGCCGGGCCACGAATGTGCCTGGGAAAGGACTCGGCATATCTTCAAATGAAGATGACCACCGTGATGCTGCTCAAGCTGTTTAACTTCAGCCTGGTAGAAGGCCAGAGCCTCGACTATAGAATGATGGCAGTGCTCTACATTGCCGATGGCGTCCAAGCCAAAGTCACGAGAAGGGAGTGAAGAAAAGAGTGTGGAAGCGAGATTCTTTATTCATCCTTTAGGCCTTAGTTGCAATAACGAGATCGATGCAGCTTTGCATGCTTGTGTGCATACACCACCCTCGATAGTTCATCGGGATAAATTATTACGCAGAGGTGCCTGAGGAATGAGAAACGAGAAAAGCTCGTTACTTTTGTATGCTATCATCGCCGAAAACCTCTTTAATTCTCTCGGCGGTGAAACGAGCAACCCATTCCGAGCCAGGCTTTGTGCAGCAAAAGTCGTGTGTGATGTCCTCGCTTTGCACCACCGCGGTTTTTAAGCCTGGGACGCGTTCATGGACCTGATGAATAAAAAAAACTCTTATTCTAAGAAGCTAAAAGAAGAATACTCACTTGTTCCAGCAAGCTCAAGGGACCCCAATGATCGTCTATCCCAAACAAGAAGCAGACTCTCCTGTGATTCTCTCTGAGAAAGTCCCAATCGACCTCCTCTTTGAGCTGCATGATGAGAAACAATAAACCTTGAAAACCATGACAATAAATTGCGTACCTTTGCAAACTCTGTCATCCCCATGTACGTGAAGTTGGCAACCATGGAGCTCTGAAGTCCTTGTTAAAAACTGGAGCACAGAGTGTAAGAAAGAATTTTACCCGAAGAAGGTATTTACAGGTTGTGTCGACTGCGCACGGCCCCCAGGCCCTTCCCACAACAGCCTTGACAAGCCGTCTGGAAATCCACGCTGGAGAGTGGCCCAGTAAACCTGCGAGTGAGCTCACTGTCGCACGCATCAATGAGCTCCTGTATCCATAAAGAAGAAGGACAAGAAAAAAAGAAAAAACGAGCGTAAGAAACTATAAGAATGTCACTGACTTACACTTACTCGCAAATCGCTTTGAGCACCGCTTGTTTCAGGGAGTCCGGATTTGTTTTCAGAAAGGGGTGCAAGCCGATCACGCACTGTAGCTGGACGAAGAAAAGCATTAAAAAAGTGTGTTGTTTGTTGCAAAGATGGGAGCACACACACCTTGTTTGGGAATCTCTTAAGGAGCTCGAGAATTATGTACGCGCCAATGGAGTGGCCGACCTTGAAAGCTCTACAGGATCAGCAAGTGATATGAAAGCATCCTTTTTAACTTTTGAGGAGCTTACCAGGACTGTTGGGAGGTCCGAGTTTATATATCGCTCTTCCAGAAACCCAGCCTGCAAGAGAAAACTTGAGAGCTGGTGTTAGATGAGACTCAAGTCTCACCTTGTGATCAATCTGTTGCTGCAAAGAAAATTTCTTGCCTTTCTCATAGTCCTGGGAAACGAATTTGTGTCAAACACTTGAATGCGAGGAAAGTTAGATTTTTACATGAGCGGTATGCGCGATATGTCCAATGGCTGCCACAAGAGAATTTTATCAGAATGTGGAGATGGAAGTTTCAGTCACTCACCTGTGATGGAAGCTGCACCTTCAAAGTGTTTGGAGAGAGCAGCGAGATAATCCTTGTAAAAACCCACAATGCCTGGATTCCCAGGAACAAAGACAATGTGAAGCCGAGGCATGGAATAAGGTTTGAGCTCCAGCAGCTCTGTGGCATGCCTGAAAAGCCCCAAAAGCTTTGAGGAAGGCAAACAGAGAAAGCGCTCACTGCTTACCCACAAACGCTCTCCACTCGACAGACCGCCATAACTCTGCCCTAAATTTTGGAATATTTCTGGAATATCGATTCTATCTAGAATATAACACTACAATGTGACACAAAGTAAAATAATATAACTTTACACTCTTCTTAAAACTCACTCAAAAACCTAATGTATATGTGATTGTGTGTTTATATTTTTTGTTTTGAGTTGCATCCAAAAATATTATATATATAATCACTTTTCAATTTACAATAAAAATGTGATTATATAGATAATATTTTTGTCATGGGATATGCCATGTATGCATAAGATATAACACTTCAAACACATTATCTCAAATAACATGATGTTATTGTAAATTTAGCAAAGGTTTTTTTTATCTCATTTTCGTATCATTGAGTATAGATTTGTGATCTCTGGATTGTGATAATCTCTTTTATCTTTTGCACATGTATTACTCACTTCTCCTTCCATGTGGCTATTTTTCATTTCTCATACATTGAAGGCATTAATCTATTTTGACATATTTGGCTTTGCACGAAGCAAAAGGCTTCGAAAACAAATGCCAAATTGCATCACTGACTCAAATGGCCCTTAACAAAGACAATGTAATAGTTTATTTGTAATATACACTAATGTAAGCATGGTGTTTTAATTACTTTTATAAATGTTTTTCATTTATTGTGGCTTATTTGTAGCACAACACTTTAATTTAGGTAGCAATTGATTGACATAAAAGTGAGCGTGATACATTATAACACAAAGGTGAGCATAAAATCTTTTTTGGATGATTGGGGCATTGAATGTAATAGTTTTTCCGTGAGTAAGTGTATCTTAATATAACTGTAGTAAGGTATTAGTTTTATTAATTTTTCATATTTTTAATCACGTGCACATATTTTTGGCATTATAATAATTTATTAATTTTGAACATGTTGGTTTGTTAAGTTTGGGCTTAATATGCAAAATACTCTCCATTACTCTCACTAAGAAATTACCTTAAGTAAGCAATAACAGTGAGTTTAGCCCTCAATAAGACATTTAATATCTAGCTCGCATATTAAAAAAAAGTATGCCCACAATCTTATTAACGTATTAAAAATTTAATGTGATATAAAAATTTATGTAACACAAAAATCACATATATAATGCTAATATGGACTTTGTAGCATGTACTAATGCATGCCCATGTGTAAAAAAAAATTGTATTTAAAATATTATTTTGTGAGTAACATATATATATTATAACAATTTAAGAACACATATATTTTTTATACATATTTTACACACTTACACAATTTTTTGCCAAACCACCCACCCCAAGTACCCTTCCCCAAAAAAAAAAAACAAATTTCTTACCATACTA